AATCCTGCATTGTTCACTTTTTTTGTGTCAAGAACTTGTTCATATTTTCCATTGTAAATAACATAAGCTAGAATATTTATTTTTGACTCGTGCTTTAGATGTTGTACAAAATTTGGAATATCGCGTGAGAACGTCCTTGGAGCCTTAGAATGATTTTTAACGCCTTGCTATATGTTTTAATTTTTGTTTGCTCCTGACGAGTACAAAAGCTTTTTGTCGAAACCTCGAGATAATAAAAAATATTTACTGGCCGAAGTATCTTTATTTTCAAGAACTATGAATGCCGCCGGCCAGGCAGCCTATATCTTTACGATAACATAAGCTAGGTTTTTGAGCGGTACCTAATAAAGTTATTTTGGAACAGAGAACAAGCCCCTATTTACATATTGAATGTGTATACATGGAATCCTGGTGGAACTAAGTTAAATCCAACGCCAAAACGCTAGGTAGTTCCGATCTATGAAAGCTGTTTTCCCTCCAGAACAGAGAAATGAGGGAAACCATGATTAATCTGTGATTTTTTTACCCTTGCAGCCGTTTCTGGGGCTAATTGGCCTGACGGAAATGGCAGGGAAGGCTCCAGGTGGAGGCGTAAGGTTAGCTAGAATTTAATTTGGACCTTGCATGGGGGGGCAATTGGTTTCGACCGCCGCCATTTTTACCACGGCAACCCCCCCGAAAATGGAAGTCTTCAATTTTAATTAGTTTCTACAACTGGAAGCTTTTCCGCCGCCGCTTCGATCTTAGGAATCCAACGGCTAGGAACTTGGCTGTTTGGACACATACGCTTATGTGTTCCTTGATCATATAGTGTATTGTTGTTTCTTATCCCCTTGTGTAAAGATTACACGAATTCCATGAGTTCATGCTCCTCGAGCCTCTTGGAATGGGGTGTAAGGATACAGCTTTCGTTGATCATAGCACCATGATCCAGGCACACTTTGGTGAAAGTCTGACTTTGCCTGTAATTTGTGGCCGTTCCTAACATGGAAGCCTTTGCTGCCAACTTTAACATGAATACAGATGCAGCTCCTCCGTATCCCTGGAGAGGGAACCCTTACTAATGTCTATCAACCGGGTTAGTTGAACTCAGGATTTTTAAAGAGGTCTTTCTCCTCTTCATCTATTATATTGATTTCAGTAAGTTGATTTAAAGCTACATCCAACATTCTGTTAGAAGTTCTCAAGTGTACAGAGAGACATATAGACAAGTGTAGATAATAAGAGAGAATGGTTAGACAGAACGTAGTGGTGGGAAGGAAGGTCTGCCGTGGAAGAAAGACCGTGACAAGCCTGTCATGCTGTACATCGTGCCGGGACATAACTCCACAGTCACTTCCGTCACATTGTGACTAACCTTTCTTGTTTGACCACCACCTACTCTCTTCTCTTTTATAACCTCGATTTTCATTCTTCGTCTATCGGGGGATCATGGTGGAGGATCGGTAGAAACTGTTGTTTGATAGCTACGACTCGGGATCGAATCCCGCGCATTGAACACTTTTTTTTCTGATCATTGCAGTCTGTAGAGAGATACTATTATATAATATACACTCATGGACAAAACTTAAGGAAGTAGAAAATCTTTGATGTCACCAGTCATCTGTTATTTTTAAGGAGCAGAGGCTGTTCACACTTGGTTATCTCGTGTTGTCTTCAATAAAGGTCATTGTAATATCTTTCAGAGTTATTGTCTGAATCCCGATGCTAAAAGGTACAATAAGTTTTGTCCATGAGAGTATATCATAAGAAACATATTTCCTAAAAATGATAATTACAAATTTTATTTAACTGTAGTTTGTATTTTATTATTTGTTATTTATAAAATAATTGATTAGGTTATTCTATATCGAAATGTTTGTTATTTGGTTTCCGAGAAACAACTCTTTGGCTTTCTTTTTTCTTCTTTCCTCTCAAGTTCCCTCTTCCTACAACGGCCCCTGTCATTCTCTCCGAAAGTTTGTCCCTTAAACGGCCCCTGTGTACCTTCCCTCACTCGGACGGGCTGTGGTGTCCTTGACTCCATCACAACCTCCTAGAGTGAGTGATGGTTAAGGGAGATATCTTCAGTGGACTCTTCTGGACTGCTGTTGTTGGACTCCACGTCAACTGTTCTACGGGACGGCTGCTTCTACCAGGATTTCTGTGAAGAACTGGATCCTAACCTGAACCCTAGTAGATTCCTCCTCTACTTTATAGTAGTGTTCTCTGCCTGTGGATTGTTGTACACTCATGGACAAAAGTCTTTGATATCGCCGGTCGTCTTTTTTTTTTTTTATGGAAACAAAAGACAATTTTGTTATATATAAATTTAATTGACATCTCTCTATCTTTAAAAAAATTGTAACTATTAATTTTTGGCAATGTTTTTTATTTTTACATATATAATCAAATATTATCTTTTCAGACCTTACTGCACAATGATAAAGGTTATTGAAGACAAGCCCTCTCATTCAATTACTTTTATCATTGCAGTAAGATCTGTAGAGATAATATTTGAATATATATGTAAAAAATATATAAACACATTGCCAGAAACAAAAATTTGTTACCAATTTTAAAGGCAATTTTGTTCACACTTGGTTATTTCGTTGTGTCTTCAATAAAGATAACTGTAATATCTTTCAGAGTTATTGTCTCAATCCCGATATATATGCTAAAAGGTACAACTTCCTTAATTTTTGTCCATGAGTGTAGTTAGACTTTTCAACTAGACTGTTGGTAGACTCAAGACTGTAGGTCGATGTTTACTGTCTAGTACCTAGCATGCCTGCACACTGTAGTACTAGCTAGACCTCTCTACTTGACTGAAGATAGACGTCTATCACATGTAGTGTTTGTTGCTTGTAGGTGACTAGATAGACACAAATAAAATCAATCTATGGATTTCTTCTAAGAGGGTTTCTCTATATTATATAGATTTCTATATAATACACTGCGGCTTGTGATTGTAAAACGACACTTGAAAGTTACACCGCATGAGTTTCTTTTCAACGATAAAATCAAAAATTTTATTTCAAGGTGAAATATCGACCATTTCTAACCTTTTTGGATGAGGTATGAAAGGGTGAATTATGAAGAGTAATGATGAACGGAAAACTATATTGTCGCGGAGATAAATAAAACAAGGACAAGGGATAATTAATTTATTATAAAGGTAGGTATTTACCTTTTAGTTCTCCAATAAAGTTATATACAAAAGGTATTTATAGGGAGAGAGAGAGAGTCAGATTGTTAGCACGTTTTCTTTGAACTTTCTTCTAGAAAGAACGAGCTGACTCACTTCGATTCAATTCGATTTATTTCAAACAACAAAAAATAATTACACTAAGATTTAAGAGAAAATATGGTTTTACGGGCTACTAACCAAAAGTTATGATTTTTGAGCCCAAAACACTAAGATTTAATTATTATTCTGTTTATTATTCTGTACATAACCCGGACTCCTGGAGCGTACAAAAGTCGCCAACTGTCCGGGAAGATTTAATGCGATTTAGTTGTATTTATAACATAAAAAACGAAAAAAACAACAAAAATAATGATGATAAGTAACAATAAAATTCTATGTATATGAATTATAATAAATTAATAAAATACAATAATAATAATTTTAAAAAACCTAACACAGATAATCAAACAACTTATCCCCAAGGTAAAGATAATAATAATGAGAGTCGTCAGCCACCGAGGCGTCCCGTTTTTCTTATTTGCCTATAAGATTCCGAGAACCCCTCACACCTGTCCCCTTGGAGTCCAGGGATGATTGACAGATGTTCCATGGGGCTTCTTGTGACCAGAGTTGTAGAGCTACTTGACAATAGCAACTAACTTAAAAAACTACAAATATTTTCTCACAATGAGTTTTTCTTTTTATAAATTGATTTTAAATAAATGTTATAAGAACAAAGATAATGACAAAATATATAGAAACACAAGTCGGGGGAGTAGACATTTTTTTTTTTTTGACAATTTAAACAATTTTATTGATTCTTTTAATCAAATTTTACAAAGGAGAAAAAATAAAAGAGTAAAAGGACATATAAAGTGTAGGGGAATATATATATATAGTTGTGTACAAATGTCTTCAGCAAGGAAGGCTTCCCCACCTTGAGAGAGTTCTCCTCCAGACAAGGTCTTCTTGTACACTCCTCAGTTCCACACCGAGGAAGTACCTATAGATGCGTGTCTTGGCAGACGTCAGGAATAGTCGGGAAGTAAAGCTTCTTTATGTAAGAGTACGTTCGTACAAGCTTTCGTTTAAGATACCTTTCTACGGGTATATATAGTCTTGTGTTTCTTCTTAATTATCTTTTATAATTAATGTGGAAAAAAATAGTACAAATGTGATATTTTACTGGGATAAGGTGCATAAATTATTTTTTAAAAAGAGCATCTCCTTATCGTGCAACTAAAATTTGCTGATGGCTTGCGCCATCTATCGGAATAAATATCCACTATTCTCGTTGATTTTTTAATTAATGCAGAATAATATAGCTTGCACTACGCTGATAAGGGCCAACAGCCTGAAACGAGTCCGTGGTTAGCTTTTCTTGATTAATCAAGAATGGATATTTGGCCAATTCTGGAATAATTAAAAATCAACGAGAATAGTTGATATATATTCCGATAGATGGCGCAAGCCATCAGTAACTTTCAGTTGTACGACAAAATGCCTTTTTTTATAATATTTTATAATTAAGTTTTCCTGAATATACATTTCATTATTCGAAATTATTCTAAAGGCGTAAGATTCTTTTTGAAATTAAACAATTTCTACTGCCCTTACTGCAATGGAAAAATTAATGGGAGGGCCTGTTTCCATTGCAGTAAGGGCAGTAGAAATTGTTTATTTTCAAAAAGAATCTTACGCCTTTAGAATAATTTCGAATTTTGATAACAGATGGCACGCTAGTGCATCATACATTTCATTAAGACAACGGTAATCTCTCTAGTCACTATAGAAGAAGAGAAACAAGTCGGGGAGAAAAGATTCTTTATATAAGAGGTTGATTGTACAAGCTTTCGGGTAAGAGGCCTTTCTACTGGTACAAAAAACCGAAGTTTTTTATAAAAGTATACCGCCATTTTCTTATATTTAAAAAGTTCTACTGAATGGTATTTGAATCTTCAACTAGAGTATATATAATATATATGAAAAAACAATATAAAAAATAAGTGGGTTAGGTGTTGATATTACAAATATATCTATATATATATAAAATGAATGTTTGTATGTTTGTTTGTTTGTTTGTATGTCCGGTATACAAATTCGCAGTAGTTCACTAATTCAAACCAAAATTTCCATTCATAGGTAAAAAAAATACGGGGAAGACGATAGGCTATTTTAAAAAATATATAAATCAATTATTAAAACTATATATTCAAATTATTCTACTTAGCTCACGAACAGCGCCCTCTATCAAAGATTAGATTAAATTATGCTGATGCAAACAAATAGATAATGCTAATAACAAACAATTATTTTTAAAAAAAATATTTTCTAAATATATATCACTCGGGTAGATATGCACACGGGTCAATCCCGTCTAGTAATATATATAATATTTCGAAAAATCACGTGAGAACGCCCTTGAAAACGGTGGACGAGTGGGTAACACCCTCGATTCCCGACAGTCATGAACCGGGATTGAATCCCGCGTTAACATTTTGTTTAATATGTGAAAAGCCTTCATATATTATTCACTGTTTCAATTATCATGAACTAGGTTGCTCTTGTTGAGCGGTACCTATTAATGTGATTTTGAACCATAACAATTTTTAACGCCTTGCCAAATGCTTTATTTTTATATATTTCTCCTGACAAAGACAGAAGATTTTTGTCGAAACGTTAAGAAAATAATAAACTCTAACTAGCCGAAGTGTCTATTTTTCATAGTAATAATATATAGAGAATTCTCTACTAGAGATTTGAACCGAGTTCTGTTTTATAACTCTGTAAATAGTCACCTCTTTTAAATAGAATTTAACTCTAGCTTGTAAATAGAATTTTGTATATAATTAGAAAAAAAAAACACTTCAAACAAATAACTTTAAAACTCGTAGAAACCATAATTGATTTGTATAAAAACATTTTTTTTTACTTTGTATATATACCAAGGGTCACTCCAAAAGTTTTTGAAATCAATATTAAAAATTTAAACAAGGTAATAAGACCAAATAAATAAATAAATAGTGTGTGACGTTTCGGTAACAGCGTTGTTACTGAAACGTCACACACTATTTATTTATTTGGATTTGGTCTTATTACCTTGTTTTATAATCTACGGATGTGCCCGGCTTCGCCCGGGTTTTTACCCGAGTAAAGGTTTGTCTAACGAACATTTGTTAAAACAATTCTCTATAAACTTATTTAAAAAAGAAGATATATTTTGATAATTTGAAACTTGTAAATTTGAATCTCTCGATAAAGTGAACATTTTTTCCCGGTCCCTGTGTGCCGTGTCATCCTGAATTTTGTCTTTCCTAATTTTCTACATTACAAAATCATCGTTTTATCTAGTGAACATTTTTTTCCGGTCCCTTGAAAAATACTCGATAAGTTGAATAAAATCAATATTAATTGGTTCTCTCGGTAATTGGAAGTTAAAGGAATAGTATCTTCGCCTTGGAATTGTATCATTATTCTTGTCTCAAATAAATTGCCGTGTCATCCTGAGATAATCTTACTTTTGATAAATAATATTTAAGATTTTATTATATATATTATATTATATATATATTACACGTTATTTGTTTTCTTGGCCGACTGTTTTACATATGGTGTTATCTTAAAATTGCTTGTTTTGAATATTTTTTTAGATTGAGATTATTAGCTAGTATGTAAAAAAATTAACTCTGTTGAAATTTAATTTTGTATTTATATATAAATAAAATTAACTCTGTTGATTTTTTTTGTATTTAATCGATAACAGCGAAGTTACGCATGTTAATGTTAGGGAAAAATATTTTGATGTTAAGCAAAACCTGCTCCATCTCGTTTTACATAAATGTTGAAAATTTGGTTGAAATTGATGCATTGTAACGAAAGTTTT